AGCGTCTTTGGGGTCTTCATTAACAATGGGTTTGTTCTTGATACAACGAGCTCGGGCGGCATAGCGCAAAGTACTGAGGGTCTCTTCAGCATCAATGTCGCTTGGGCTCACGCAGGCGATCATTAGAGTTCTGGCATTTCCACCCAGACTATCTCGCAGCAGTCTTGTCAGTTTACTATCCCTGAAGAACATTTTATTTTTTATCCGTAATATTTTCCATTATGTTTTTATCTACTACAACAATAAATAATAAATCAATGAAATTTGTGGATAAATTGTGTATATAATATAGAATATTATATACTTAATATTATTATTTTTGGGCTAATATAAAAAAAAAATAATTTAAAAATAGTAAAATATGTGACAAAAAACAAGTTATAATTGGCGATCTTTTTTATAGATTTTTCTATATTATGTGATAATTTTTAAATTTTATAAGCCAATTTAAGAAAAATGTTTTAATAAAATGAACCATTTAGTATTGTTTATCGTTAACATCTTTCATGTAGAAATATTGCAAAAAATTATTTTATTATAATATTTTATTATTAAAATTATATAAAAATTGAATTTTGCAATATTTCCGAAATATTAATGTCATGTTGCTACAAGTGTGCTGGTACTTTGTGGCTCTATATTTCTGCAATGTCTTTGTAATGTTGCATTGCAATTTGCAACATTGCAATGTTGCTGCAATATAATTGCAATGATCTGTGCTGTATGGGTACTGTTTTAATATCTCATTATTGTGTTTGTAGTATTAAACATATATTTGTAAGCTTGCGAGATTTTGCTTTTTCTACATAGTGACCCAGACAGCACAAAATGTCCTCAGGTTCATCCTGAATATGTCCAGGATGGTTCAGGATATTTGTAGGATGTTTTAAGATATTATTATAAATATATTTTATGAAAATTTAATATGCATACATGATTACTTTCGGTTATGTAGGCTATTTAATATAATTTAGAAATTTTAAGTATTGTAATAAGTATTAATGTCCTATAAATGTCCCCTGGATAACCCCTGGATGTCTGTAGGATATCTGCCCTGTCTATTATATTGGATGTCCTTTGGATTTCCAGAGGATATATACATGTGCAATTAATTGTTAACATTAATTTCGTTTAATATTAATAATTGAATTTGATGCGCACATTTTCATATATTCAAAATTATTATTTATTTAATATTTCATGAGAAATGTTACTATGCGCAACATTCCAAAAACTTTACAAAAAATAGTATTCAACCGCTAGTTCGTTTGTTTACCGCTATGCGACGCGCGGGCAATGCGTTCATCTCGTATTTGAGATTTGGTCATGAGAATTATATAAAGCTTGCAAAGAGCAACTAACAGGAAATTAAAAATATAATTATTTTTTATCAGTTCAATTTCTGATGCAATCTTAACATAGGGAATTCAGATATTGGATTGTTTTGAAATTATTACACGACTCAAACCCGGAAGCCAAACCTAAACTATTCATGTACAGCACGAAAACCTCAAATATTAAAGAACGTGAACTATTTTTAGTATTAGATTTTTAGTATTGGCAGTAAATAATAGAACGCAATCTTAATTTATATTTAAATTTTAGAATTTGTTTCTTTTAACGTATGAAAAATATCCCTAACATATCCTATAGAAATCCTTAAGATGTTCCACAGGATCTCCCTGGATTCTCCAGAGGCTAGTGTACGGCTATCATTTACTCTTCCTCAGGACATCCAGAGGAGATCCGAGGATTAAAATAGGATATCCTCAGGATATCCTACATGTATGTCCTGGATGCCCTTTGGACGTCCTAAGAACATCCTTGTGCTGTCTGGGTTTTTATAGATTTTTCTATATTATGTGTGATAATTTTTAAATTTTGTATCATTTTAATATTGATATTTGACATTTTCACATTATACGTTAAAAAAATGATTGAATCCTTAAAAAGATTAATATAAAGATTTATACACAAGAAGAAATAATCTTGTTTTATACCTATAAGGAACATGTCTTCCATTTCCGGCAGCTAATGCACTAATGACATTCCCCAATGCCGACAAGCTCAGATTGATACTGGCAGCTTCTTTCAAACGATCACCTGTAGCTCCGGTCCTAGCTTGTCTCTCAGATCCTGCAAGATCGACTAGATGCAGTCGTCCCCTTCTGATAGCATTGCCGTGTTTATCATCGTCATTAATTGCGATTGCTTCGAGTGACAGAGTTAAAACAGCGTGACTTCTTGAACTGGCAGCGTTCATTTTCGTCGCGGCTGCTGCTCTTCTTTGATCGCCTTGCCGGACCAACGCGGTGCATTCGGCCGCGTCTTTGACGGTAACCTCGCGCAGACCGCCTGCGACATAAGTACCTTTTGTAAGATCCTCTTTCAGAGTCAAAGTCTCCCCGGTATTGTCTTGTAACAAATCTCGCAATCGTTCATTGTAGATCTCAAGATAGCTCAGCAACGCTAAGTATCTAAACAAAAAAAATATATGTGTATATAATTAGAACTTTTAAAAAATATAATAAATGTAACTTTTAAAAATATTTTATTAAATTTTAATTGTGTGTGTGTGAATTTATTTTAAGGGGGCATACCCGTTTGAAACCTCGAAAAATGAGTACATTTTTTTTATATTTTTTTGCTGCGCAACAACTTGATAAAAATTTTTAATTTTTTACAATATTATTAATTACCTAAATAAAAATGTACAGCCTAAAAATTTTTTTTTTTTTTAAGTTATGCGAATATTTGCAGATTTATATTTTCATGCACGATGTGCATAAAAACTCGGTCTACGTTCGACGGATTAATTTCAAATTTTGCATGCGGGTTCCTAATAAGATTCCGCATCTGCTAACGTAGTCTTTTTTAATCCGATTTCCCATTCTTTTGTTATAAACAAAAAAAAGATGGATTTTCTTTTTGAAAAAACGAATCTTTAGATAACAAATAGCTATTAATATGTAATAATAAAAAAAACTTGTATTTTTGATTTCAGATATGATAAACGAACGTTTTCATGCACACCGTCCA